AGTAACACCCATGTGTAGTAACACCCATGTGTAGTAACACCCATGTGTAATAACATTCATATGTGATAACATTAATATGTGATAACACCCATGTGCAATAACATCCATGTGCAATAACACACATGTATAGTAACACCCATGTGTAACAACATTCATATATGATAACACCCATGTGTAGTAATAATATCCATGTGTAATAACACCCATGTGTAATAACAACCATGTGTAGTAACACCTGTGTATAATAACACCCATGTATAGTAACACCCATGTGTAATAACATCCATGTGTATTAACACCCATGTGTACTAACACCCATGTGTACTAACACTTGTGTGTAACAACACCCATGTGTAATAACATCCATGTGTAGTAACACCCATGTGTATTAACACCCATGTGTACTAACACCTGTGTGTAATAACATCCATGTGTAATAACATCCATGTGTAGTAACACCCATGTATAGTAACACTCATGTGTACTAACACCCGTGTGTAGTAACACCTGTGTGTACTAACACCCATGTGTACTAACACCCATGTGTAGTAACACCTGTAATAACGCCCATGTGTAGTAACACCCATGTATAATAACACCCATGTGTAGTAATACTCATCTGTAATAACAAAAGCTGATGGTTGTCTGGCACTGGCTAGATGCTGGGCACTGATGCATTTCATAATACAACCCTTTAAACCCAAAGATGCTAGGGTCCTCCCTATAAAATGTCATAGCACTTGCATGTCACCTCTGTACATCCCCCAGCTTTCAATCACCTCCAGATTGCTTACAGTACTCGATGTGATACAGACACACTGCACGGCTTAGGGAATACTGCCAAGAAAAAGTCAGTTTAGATACTCTGTCTATGGTTGAATGAAGTCTGTGAATGCAAGCCATTTCCTAAGTCCCTTTGCCCTCAGAAGTGCTCTATGAAGCAGGCTCTCTCGCTCTGTCCTGTGTGTGTGTGTGTGTGTGTGTGTGTGTGTGTGTGTGTGTGTGCTGAGGACTAAACTCGGCCTCTGGCATGCTAAGGACACCCCACAGCACTGGACGCCACACCTCCACACCCAGCCTCTAGACTTACTATGCATTTAACCGTGTGTGGAATGTGGTAGAGTGGGATCTCATGATTCCCTAGTACAGATAACACTACCACTGGCCACCCAGGCTCTCCAGAAGTTTGCACAGCCATTGTCACTGTCATTGGCCTCCGTGCATGTGCCTGGGCTTCTGGACTTCTTCGTGGATTGGATTTTGTTACCCTTTTCACTAAATTTACTACATTTATTCCTTAAATTAAGAAAATAATTTGTTGTTTCTGTAATTGTATGAATATCAAGGGCTATTGAAAATGATATTTCATTCCTATAAATATAAAAACCAGGAAAATAACCTATGCCACTAGTAATCTGGACCAATCATGGTGAGCACTGGTTCTTTGGGAGGTGGCAAGAGAGGATTCTGGGATTGCTGGCTGTGTTTTTTCCTTGGCCTGGGTGTAAGGTAAATGTTTGTTCGGGGTTGGCAAAATTCAGTGAGTGTTGTACTGGTGATTTGTGTACTTTACTCCTGAGGCTGGAAACAGCATCACCCTGACTTTCTAATTAAATAGCAATTAAAGTATGCAATGACCTCGCCAACCCATTTTTTAAAATCCAAGATGGTCTTACTGTGTAGTCTTGGCTGACCCAGCACTCACTCTGCAGAACAGATTGCTGAAACTAAAATTTAGCTCCAGAGTAATATGAGCTGAGTGATATTGTTTATAAATTATTACTATCTGCCCAGCTCTTCAAACAGAGCCCCGTGGCAGCCTTGCTCCACGAGCCAACACTTGGAATACATTGCCATCCAGTAGAGTCAACAGGTATTTGCCAAATGCCAAACAGTACCCATTTAAACCCGTTATTAGCATGTACAAGACGCCAAGCTCAAGTCCCCAAACTGGTCAACGAGTGCATCTATAAGCACACCAGGCTTAGGGTGTCATATTTCCCTATTTCTGGGGGGTTTTCTTAAATGGAGAGCAACAATTTTTAACAGAGAATTAGTAGGCAGACCCCAAGTGACACTAGAACAAAGTCACTAAAACTCTATGGGCTGTGGAGGGACAGTAGATTAGACTGCTGCGAGAACAGAGTAGGGCAGGTGAGCCGTGAGAAAGCAAGGTATTCCTGTTCCAAACATTGTTACAAATGCAACGTGAGGGTGGGGCAGTGGGATAGATACAAAATAACAAACGGTTGGGAAAGGCGTCAAGGCACACTGAGCGTAGAAAGCCGTAGGATCAATAGGCAGACTCTGTCAGGGCTCCAAGCTCTAAGCGGAAGCACAGAAGAAAGGTAAGCAAATGGTTTCTTGTGACTAAGGGAAGTCACAGGTGAGAATGACTGTGATCCACCATCATGTGCAGGGCAGGGAACAAAGTGTGGTCAGCTCGGCGTGACGTAAGACCAACCTACACGTGTATATGATCTGCTGAAGTAATCTAAAACAGATAGATGACCTGCATAAGAACTACTGCTGAACTACTCGTAATTGGAATGAAAGAGAGAAGAGAATTGATCCAAATGCCCTACTGCTGGGAAAAAAATAGTGTCTGGATAATAATGTAATTGTACGATCATTAAACTTGATAATGGAGGGCCTAGAAGGCTCTGTCACTATGGTGCCTGCACAAGTATAAATGACCTGAGTTCTGATTCTCAAGGGTCCAGTAGCCTAAATCTGCAATCTCAGCCCGGACGGGGTGGGATAGAGGCACGTGGAGCCCTGAAGCTCGGTGGTCAGTCAGCCTAGAGAACTGATGGCCTCCAGGTTCAGTGAGAGACCTACTCTGAAAAGATAAAGGGGGGAAATCCACCCTTAGGGCTCAGAGAACATTGTAGGAGAGAGAACAGAAAGACGGCAGGAGATGAGGTTCAGGGAGTTTGCTGTGAGATTGTGTCTCCTAGGAATGTCACATGTCACATCCATAAAGTCTCAACAACATTAGTGCCTAAGCATGAGCCGAGCATGGACAACAATGGACATGCAAATATGAACTGGGGTCTGGGAAAGCCGGAGGCCCCAACCCTACACAAAGAACTACCAGCAACTAAGGAATTCTGGGAGTCACTCTGGGAAAAGAAGTCTTCCCCAGGAAAGCACACGCCAGTTGGTTATCCAATACCAAATGGTCAGCCCCAACATCACGAATAAAAGTAACACTGTGTGAACAGGTTGTACTTATGTATATAGGAATATATGTGCATGTAGTAATAACTAAAGAAAAAGGGGCCATGAGTGTGAAAGAGAGGGGGGGGGAGTGAGGGGAGTCTGTGGGAGGGGGGGTGGGAGGGAGGGAAAGGGGGAAACGATCTCATTACATTATAATCTCGAAAAGTAAAAATTGCAAAGTTTAAAAAAAACAATCATTGAGTTGAATAGAAAAAGAATCAAACAAATTTAATAAAAATAGAACATGTTTTACTCATTTTTTTTTAAAAAAAAAAACAAGCAAACAATAGAGTGGGAAGGGTTGGCAAGGCTTAGTGGGTAAAAGCTGTTAACATAAGTTTGCCCACCTGAGTCCACCCCAGTCCTGTAGCACAGAGAGCTGACTTCTCCTTAAAGCTGTCCTCTGACATCATGGGACGCTCCCTCCCCAGTCACAAAGAAATACATGTAGCTAAGTTTTGTTTTGTTTTGTTTTAAGAAGGTGAAGCACATGAAGTTGGGTGGGTAGTGGGGCGGTGGGTATGGGTGGAGTTTGGATCCAGGAAAGAACAGGATAAAAGATACTGTATGAAACTGTCAAAGACTGAATTTAAAACTGTAAATAAAAATGAGCTGGCAAGTCACAGGGAAAGACACCTAAAGTCAGCATGTGATTTCAACATAATGAACACAGGAACAAATACCTACCACAGAGGGAAAGAGAGGGGAAGGGATGAGAGAGAGAGCTCACATGCATGAGAGAGGAGAGGAGAGGAGAGGAGAGGAGAGGAGAGGAGAGGAGAGGA